GTGCAACACTTCGCAGTAGCTAGCATGCTAATAGGCTAGTGCAGTGGAGCATCATGGAGCATCATCCCTCCCACGCATTTGATGTTACTAATGTGAAAATGCTCCCGTCTGGCAGGGTCCGGGCGGTGCACCAGAGCGCGCTGGGACGTACGAGCTGGAGGTGGAGCTGAGGCGAGGGCGCAACCTGGCGGTCCGAGACAAACGAGGTAGAGTTGTTTCACTTGTCATTTCTCTGGGCTGGATAACCGGATAAACGATTTCTTTACAGAGGAACAGATAACACACAGCACGCCATGGGATCGCGTTTCGGACATCGTTTATTTTAACAGGTGCAAGAGATATCTGGAATCATCCTGCCTGTTGACATCACTATCGTGCACCCCGCCCCAGTTATCCGATTATGAGAGCACGGACTCAAGTCAAGAAGAGTCCACGCAGAACCTCCGCCCCCTTCCATGTACACTGATATTCATTTGTGTGCGTTTTTTTTGTTTGCTTGTTTTGTTAGCGGGAAACAGCGACCCGTATGTGAAATTCGAGATGGCGGGTAGGGACGTGTTCAGAAGCAGAACCATACGCAAGAACCTCAACCCCGTCTGGAACCACAAGACCACCCTCGTCACGCACAACCTTGGTGAACCGCTACACGTCAAGGTATGTACACACGTACACACATTTCATAAGATGCAACACTACTCCAGATGATCACAATTGTTTGGTAAACCATGCTGATATCAGTCATTTTCCAGAGAGGATAAAGAATACATGCCACCGAGTATAGTTATATTTTTCCTGTTTGTATTAAGGATATTCATTAACACCAAAGCACTGTTGCGATTTTTTTTCTTGGCTTGTCTATGATGTTTAGCATTGTTTGTTAACATTAAGCGAAGCAGACTTTCATCTAAGTATTCGTCACCAGCTGAAATACTGACAATTTGCCAAACGAGTGCCTTTGAAAAGTGAGTCCGGTTCACATCTCGACTGTCAGCATACCGCGCGCGCTCCGATCCAGATTATTGTCAGACAAAGAAAAAAAATTGCATCTCCAGGCGCCGCTGTTTGTTTGGATTGTACTGGTATGTTTAAATTCAGAGTCACATCTTGGTGCCAAGAACTACATCGAACTGAGTCGAGGAGCTTCATGTTCAGGTAGTGCTTTGCCGCTACGGCCTCTTAGAAGTGTAGGGGGACTGCACAAGGCGGCGCGCTCGCGTGTCCTTGATGTGTGCTTGTTGTTGTGGTGTTGTCGTAGGTGTTTGACTACGACTTTGGTATTCGGGATGACTTCATTGGCTCAGCCGTCTTCCACCTGGACTCTTTGGAACTACACAGGTACTAGCCGCACCTTATTTCGGCCACATGATAGATGCGTTATAAGTCGTGCCTTTGTGCGTCAGGCTAACCCTGGTGACCTTGGTTCTGGAGGACCCGCAACACCCCGAGGAGGACCTGGGCTCGCTAGAGCTGAGCGTGAGGCTCACATACAAAAACCGACCAGCCGAGCAGTGCAGGGACTCGACGGTACGAGGACATCGTAAGCGTGGAACGCTTTCCAATATTTTTTCAGCTTTTGCACTTATTATTAGCAAGCAAGCTAACTTGTTTTTGCTGTTCCTGTCAGTTGTTTTGGTCTTTTAGCATTAGCGCACATGCTAACACTGCTGTGTTGTTGCTTTCGTCTGCTTAATGGAAGCTAACTGCTGTGCTATTCTTGTCAGCTAGTTTTCACCGTTTTGCGTGCTACCACCCTCCAAGATCAACACGTCTTGTGGTCCATCAGGAAGACAAAGTCATGTTCTCTGCTTCATTTTTGGTCCATATTGGTTTCTCAAATTTACAATGTCAAACACAACCATGTGCCACCACCTACTGTCAAAAGGTGGAATTGCACCCCAAAATAAAGAACACATAGAGTTGGAGCAGGAGAAAATGTGAAAATAGCGGGACCACAAGCCCTGAACTCGTAATGGCGGAGGATGTGCCAGATCCATCCAGAATTCATTCTTTGCCCCAGCAGCATTCATCTCCTCATCTACCCGAGGTCGTCGGGGCGTCCCAGCAGTGGCGGGGTGTCATCAGCGTGGCTCTCATTGAGGGGCGCGACCTGGTTCCCATGGACACCAACGGACTGAGCGACCCCTACGTCAAGTTCCGCCTGGGGGCACAGAAGTACCGTAGCAAGGTAACCGACCGACACGTCAACACGTCTGCCAGAGCGCCACCGCTATCGCTAACAGCAGGCGAGCACCGAGTCCCATTGACCGCTAGCATTAGCATAGGCGAAGTCTGTCAAACAAAGTATGTCTTGGATTTAAAAGTACATCATGTGTAATTGTTTTGGGTGTGTGTTTAATGTGACGGTCAACTCTAACTGGCTCATGCTCAGGCTTATAATGTTTTTAAAATTGTGAAAACCCAGTTTTGAAATCACCAATACATTTCAATTGATTGCTCAGCCCTATAGGTAAAACTGTACCAAACTGAATTTTCTCAACGGCGTATTTGTAGCTCAAATATCCGGTCGGAAAAAAAATTCAGGTCGGAGCCCTCGTAAATCAAGGTAGCTGTGCGTTTCATAGACAAGCAGACAGTGAAAACTTTTCAGTCTCCTTGGCGCAGACGCTTACAAAGACGCTGAGTCCGCAGTGGCGGGAACAGTTTGTCCTTCAACTGCTGGAGGAGACGGTGGACGTGCTGGAGGCCACCGTGTGGGACCACGACACCGGACTCAGGGACGACTTCATCGGACGGCGAGTACAAACTTTTCCTTCTTTCCAAGCAGTGCATTGAGATATGAGCTTCAGTTCTTTCAGTTAATTAAACATTGACGTGAGAAGAAAATGTTAGGCGGGGAAGCTCCTGAAACGTGACAGCGTTGGGTTTTCGGGCTCCATTTAATAATGGCTCCTGTCCTGCTCTGTTAAATCAAGCTTTGACTGTACTGTCCACCAAACGTTTTTCCCCATTTCTATCCAAGTGAATCGATTTAGCATGATGATAATGAAATTGTTTTGATTTCAGTTGCCAGCTGGACCTGTCCACGCTAACCAAAGAGCAAACTCACCACCTGGAGCTTCCGCTGGAGGAGTCCCGGGGCCACCTGGTGCTGCTGGTCACACTGACGGGCTCCGTAGCCAACCCGACCGCCTCGCCGCCTGACGACTTGCAGGACGCTGGCGAGATCCTCAAGAGCTATGTGAGCGCTACGTCACGGGTGAGTTCATGCCCTAACAAGCGAATCGCTAACGAGTGGTGTCCCAAAGGGGGTGCTGAAGTCCTTCTCGGACATGAAGGACGTGGGGATGGTGCAGGTAAAGGTTCTGCGAGCAGAGGGCCTCATAGCGGCCGACGTGACTGGTGAGAAAGAAACGAGAATCAAATCGAAGAAAGAACGGACATTAGTATTTTTTACGTGTTTGTTGTCCTGCTCAGGAAAGAGCGACCCCTTTTGTGTGGTGGAGCTCAACAACGAACGCCGACAGACGCAAACCGTCTACAAGAACCTCAACCCACATTGGAACAAAGTCTTCACTTTGTAAGTAGAGCAACTTATTACATGTAATAGCATGTTATTACATAGTAATACCTGTATTTTGGTATAAAGTGCGTGTGTTGGTGTCAGTCAGGTGAAGGACATTCACTCTGTGTTGGAAGTCACTGTGCTGGACGAGGACAGAGACCGCAGTGCCGACTTCCTGGGAAAAGTTGCCATCCCGTTGTTGCACGTGAGTCTGGCGTGTCGTTGGGAATGCTCATCACGCCTGTGTCGCATGTGTCACAGATGTGTGTGCGGGTTGCAGGTGCGAGGTGGCGAGCAGAAGGGGTACGTGCTGAAGAACAAAGAGTTGAAAGGTCTCAGTAAGGGAGTCATCTTCCTGGAGGTCTACGTCGTCTTCAACCCCGTGAGTTGGCCATGTTTCTTTGATGTCAAATGGCCCTGTTATCTCTCTGGAGTCACATGACCCTATTGTCTGCGGACAGGTGAAAGCGGCGTTGAGGACGCTGTCGCCCGCTGAGCAGAAGTTGATCGAAGATGAACCCAAAATGTCCAAAGATGTACGTCAACGTTTGACAGGTCTGACGATGATCGCTTGCATGACATGGAACATGCTAACTGCCATGTTGTTGTCATATGCGCGCGGTCAGCTGCTGTATCAGAACATCGTCCGCGTGAGGAGATGCGTCACGGTGCTCTTCAACTTGGCCTCGTTTATCAATAGCTGCTTCCAGTGGGAATCCACGCAACGTAGCCTCATCGCGTTCCTGGTAAGCAAACGCACAGATGCGCGTACGCTAGCGTGATTTGGTGCTCACCCGACCTTGCGTTCAGGTCTTTGTGGTGGTTGTATGGAACTTCCAAGTCTTCATGATACCGCTGGCGCTCCTGCTACTGCTCGTCTGGAATTTTTTCCTCTCGTGGACCCGTGAGACTGCCGACATGGTGAGACATAGCTTGTTAAACTCAAGACAACACACATCAAGCCAAGCTTATCACAGTTATCATGTTACTGTTTAACCCTTTCAGGGACAGCGGTTACTACAGTGGACAGCTTATGTTATCAGGTTACGGGGGTGCATGAGAGGGATATTTCGTATACTCCAAATTCTTGCTCTAAAAACTCATTAAAATTGTATACGTGAAGAATGTGATGCCACTTATCACACATGTGACATCCATCCATTTTCTTATGTTTATCCGGAGTCGGGTCGCAGGGGCAACAGCTTTAGCAGGGAAGCCCAAATATTCTTCTCCCCAGCCTCCAGATCCTCCGGGGGGGCTGGGTGAGGGGGCAACCTAAGGCTGAGAGGAGCCGCTTTGAGTGGCAATGACTTTAGTTGATTGTGTTCACACCCACAGTAGCGCAGAATGCCCCCCTGTCGGATCCACGGAATTACAGAAACCTGGCGTTGTCAAGGTGCATAATTGCTGCGCCGGTCGCACCAGATTTCACAGCGTACACGAAACTAGAGTCGCAAATGTCAACCCCAAATGGCACACGTCAAACATGTGACGTTCTGCATGACATCATATCAAACACTTGCCAAGAACCTTAAAGCACACGTCGTTTCCGTATACGCTTGTGTCTGCCCGCAGTCGATGGAGGCCATGTTGGAGTGGGACGAGGACGACAAAGAGGTGAGTGACGCTGTCACGCACGTTGGCTGGAAACGTTGACGCACGCAATGTGTTGCGTTGCCTCCAGGAGACGGAGTCCCGTGGCTTTCTCGACAAACTTAACGCCATCCAGGACGTCTTCATCAGCGTGCAGAACGCTTTGGACCAAGTGGCGTCCTATGGCGAGAGGTTGAAAAAGTAAGTGTCGCCTCGGGTGTGAAGGATGCCTCGAATGGGCCCCGAATTTTTTTTTTTTTTTTTAATCAACCAGTTTGATGATGCAAATGTTTGTTAGCGTTAACAAGTCACCGAATGATTTCACTTTCGTTTTTTTTTTCTCTCAGTGTGTTAAACTGGACAGTGCCTTTCCTGAGCTGCTTGGCCGTGGCCGTCTTGTGCCTTCTGGCCTCTTGTTGTCATATGCGCGCGGTCAGCTGCTGTATCAGAACATCGTCCGCGTGAGGAGATGCGTCACGGTGCTCTTCAACTTGGCCTCGTTTATCAATAGCTGCTTCCAGTGGGAATCCACGCAACGTAGCCTCATCGCGTTCCTGGTAAGCAAACGCACAGATGCGCGTACGCTAGCGTGATTTGGTGCTCACCCGACCTTGCGTTCAGGTCTTTGTGGTGGTTGTATGGAACTTCCAAGTCTTCATGATACCGCTGGCGCTCCTGCTACTGCTCGTCTGGAATTTTTTCCTCTCGTGGACCCGTGAGACTGCCGACATGGTGAGACATAGCTTGTTAAACTCAAGACAACACACATCAAGCCAAGCTTATCACAGTTATCATGTTACTGTTTAACCCTTTCAGGGACAGCGGTTACTACAGTGGACAGCTTATGTTATCAGGTTACGGGGGTGCATGAGAGGGATATTTCGTATACTCCAAATTCTTGCTCTAAAAACTCATTAAAATTGTATACGTGAAGAATGTGATGCCACTTATCACACATGTGACATCCATCCATTTTCTTATGTTTATCCGGAGTCGGGTCGCAGGGGCAACAGCTTTAGCAGGGAAGCCCAAATATTCTTCTCCCCAGCCTCCAGATCCTCCGGGGGGGCTGGGTGAGGGGGCAACCTAAGGCTGAGAGGAGCCGCTTTGAGTGGCAATGACTTTAGTTGATTGTGTTCACACCCACAGTAGCGCAGAATGCCCCCCTGTCGGATCCACGGAATTACAGAAACCTGGCGTTGTCAAGGCGCATAATTGCTGCGCCGGTCGCACCAGATTTCACAGCGTACACGAAACTAGAGTCGCAAATGTCAACCCCAAATGGCACACGTCAAACATGTGACGTTCTGCATGACATCATATCAAACACTTGCCAAGAACCTTAAAGCACACGTCGTTTCCGTATACGCTTGTGTCTGCCCGCAGTCGATGGAGGCCATGTTGGAGTGGGACGAGGACGACAAAGAGGTGAGTGACGCTGTCACGCACGTTGGCTGGAAACGTTGACGCACGCAATGTGTTGCGTTGGCACACGTCAAACATGTGACGTTCTGCATGACATCACATCAAACACTTTTGCCAAGAACCTGAAAGCACACGTTGTTTCCGTATACGCTTGTGTCTGCCCGCAGTCGATGGAGGCCATGTTGGAGTGGGACGAGGACGACAAAGAGGTGAGTGACGCTGTCACGCACGTTGTCTGGAAACGTTGACGCACGCAATGACCCGTGTGTTGCGTTCTTGCTAACATTTTGTCAACATCATGTCACATGACGCTATTTGGCATAATCTGCAGGTCTGTTGGGTAATGCTAATGCTATCTTACTGCGCATGTGTGCGGCAGATGCAGTATCGCGAGCTGTTGGTGGACGTGGGTCAAACTCCGAGCAAGCGCAAGAGGACCGACCCCAGCTAGTATTCTAACATGCGACCCAACGCATCAATAACAAAACAAAACCAAAATACGAAATTTCCAATTGATGACTTTGTTGGCCAAGAACCTTGTTGCTCTGCATCCTGCCTAAGAAAATAGAAGTTAGACTTTTTTTTTTTTTTTTGCACTTGATGGATCAATGTATTTGTATGCGCCTAAAGGAATGTTTTTACTTTCACATTTTTAATGTAACTTCATTTTTTTTTTATAAGTGATATTCCACGTGAGCATGTGTCAACATGTAAGCTTGCATAAAGAAAGAAACCTTTCCCAGTGTTGTCTTAGCAACCAACCTTCCAGCTGTCAATCACCAGGCACGCTGCTGCGCATGACTGAATTGACATACGTGTGCGATATATGCACGATATTTATACAAACGTATACGTGTGTCACATGTTAACTTTTGTACACGCTTCTCTAAGTCACGTTAGCCCCCCGTATAAAGTTGCATTTTTGATATTTTATGACATAAATATGGTTTTTACTTTCACATTTTTAATGTAACTTCATTTTATTTTTTTTTTGTTATATTCCACGTGAGCATGTGTCAACATGTTAGCTTGCACAAAGAAAGAAACCTTTCCCAGTGTTGTCTTAGCAACCAACCTTCCAGCTGTCAATCACCAGGCACGCTGCTGCGCATGACTGAATTGACATACGTGTGCGATATATGCACGATATTTATACAAACGTATACGTGTGTCACATGTTAACTTTTGTACACGCTTCTCTAAGTCACGTTAGCCCCCCGTATAAAGTTGCATTTTTGATATTTTATGACATAAATATGCATTAAACGTGAATGTTTTGACGTCGCCGTTCGTCACTTATACTATACTTTACTGCCACCTAGCGGACATATCAGGCACTGCAGACATTCGATCCACTTATGATGTGCTTTGCTGCTACCTAGCGGACATTTCCGGTACTGCAGACATTCAAACAGGCATCCTTTCTATACAAACGTATACGTGTGTCACATGTTAACTTTTATACACGCTTCTATAAGTCATGTTAGCCCTCCGTATAAAGTTGCATTTTTGATATTTTATGACAATATACATTAAACGTGAATGTTTTGACGTCGCCGTTCGTCACTTATACTATGATTTACTGCCACCTGGCGGACACATCCGGCACTGCAGACATTTAATTCACTTATGATGTGCTTTGCTGCTTATGATGTGCTTTGCTGCTTCCTAGCGGACATTTCCGGCACTGCAGACATTCAAACAGGATTGTCGCTTGTAATGTACCACGGGGCCAGCTGTGAATGATGGAAACGCCTGAAGCATCGCGAGAAACTTTTTTGTTGTTGTTGTTGGGCGTGTTTCTTTCCAGGTGGGCGCGCTGGTGTCTCTCGGCAGCTGTTTGGCTTCGTCATCAACAGTCGATTTCTCAAGCTAGCCTCGGACTCTACCCCGCCGTCGACATTCTCCGACTAGTTCGTACTTTCACATACTCGGTAAGTTTTTTTTTTTTGCTTCCAAAAACATGCACGGTAGTTTAATTGAACACTTTAGATTGCTCTTACGTATGACTGTGAATGGTTGTTTATCCGTGTGTGCCCTGCGTTGGCTGGCCCCCAGTTCAGGGTGTCACCCACCCCCTCCCCAGTCGTAATTGGTATTTCCCCAAAAAGTCACAAAGAAGCGATTTTCACAAACGTATATTTCGACTTCATTTAATTTTGCATGTTCACAATCATGATTGTGGTTGAGGCACACATCACTTGTCCAAGTGGTCAAGACGCAGAGCTTGCATGGTCTCAGTTATGGCAAGTCCTCATGTTTTGTTGCCGTTGTTCATGTTAGAGTCAGCGGCTGAGGTGGGGGGGCGGGGCTAGGTTGTGTAGTCCTTGAGTAGCTGTCCCGCGATGACCAATCTCTGGATCTCGCTGGTGCCCTCGTAGATTTCCGTGATACGAGCGTCACGGTAGTGGCGCTCGGCGGGCATATCCGTTACGTAGCCCATCCCGCCCAGAATCTGGATGGCCTGATGGGCGCCACACACACCACAATTAAATAATTTGGCGACGTTTACACAGATTTCATGACTAATGATTGCGCTCTAAAAACAGTTGGAACAAACATAACACAAATTGGGTGATTTTTCTTTTCTGTCAGGGATATCAGTCCTGCAAAGAGTTAAACTACTAAGTTGAGCGGCCTCACCTGGTGGGAGCAGAAGGTGGCGGCCTCGGAGGCGGCAAGTTTGGCCATTGCGGCTTCCTGGAGTCGAGGGTTTTAGTGTGAAAGGGCTCAGGACAGGAAGTTGTAGCGACGACTTTTGCCTACCTTGGTGAAAGGTCTCTTGGCGTCGCGCAGGAGGGCCGCCTTCCATGTGAGCAGGCGAGCGCTCTCGATGGCTAGCGCCATGTCAGCCAGTTTGAACTATGCCACAAACAAATCACGATAAGCCGAACGCTAAACTGTGAGTGTAACACGTTTTAAAATCACATTACACTTTCTCACCACTGGGGGGCCCCCCAAACCGGTTACCTGTATGGCTTGCAGTTTTCCAATCGGTGCTCCGAAGGCGTCACGCTTGTGCGCATAATCGGCGGCACAGTCCAGCGACGCCTGAGCGATACCCAGCGCCTGAGCCGCGATGCCGATGCGCCCGCTGTCCAGAGTTTGCTAAGGGGCGCAAACGCCGCGTTAGCTAAGCCACAGTTGATTGAGCACAAGCACATCCAAAAAAAAAAAAAAACTCCCCACAAAAGTATGATTCTTAAGCAGTTGTTGTTGATTATTTTTTTACTGGGCTATGTTCCATTAGCCTGTCTTTGGTATTTTGAATGATATGTTAGCATTAAGCTAGTGGACTTGATTAAAAAGGAGACAAGAGATGGTGGCGATCTGGTTACCATGGCAATCTTGAATCCGGCGCCACGGGGGCCCAGCATGTTTTCTAACGGGATCCTGCAGTCCTCCAGGATGATGTTGGCTGTGGACGACGCCTTGATGCCCAGTTTGTCCTCCTTCTTGCCAAGCGACAGGCCCGGGTGGGGCATGGGCACCACAAAGGCGCTGATGCCCTAAGAGGTGCGACGAAACAGGCTAGCGTTAGCACCGCGCGAACCAGCTCCGAAACGAGCGCCGGCCTCTTGCCTTGTGTTTGAGCTTCCTGTCAGTGGTGGCGAAGATGATGGCGGCGGCAGCGTCCCAGCTGTTGGTGATCCACGCTTTGGTGCCATTCAGGACCCAATGGTCGCCGTCCTGGTGCGCCACCGTAGACGCGGCACCTGCGTCGCTGCCGTTGCCTGAGAGGCGGAGCCGCGTCACAGGAAGTCAGATCGTCAGGAGGCGGGGCTCACGCGTGCAACTGGTGGCTAGCTTTACCTGGCTCGCTGAGGGCGAAGCAGCCCACCTGATGGCCGCTGGTGAAAGGCGTGATCCACTTCTGCTTCTGGACCTCGGAACCAAACTTCAGGATCGGACCCAAGTAGAGAGACTAACGCACAGTCGATAAGAGGAAAGACACGTGCGACATATGGACCCATGACCATTACATAGATGACGAATCATGACACAAGATTCGACTAGAGTCGTGATACATGACTAGACGAATGCCATGATGAGTCATTTGGTAATTCTGACAGCATGTTGCGTCTGGTGGGTCCAGCGCTAATACAGAAAGCGCCTCACGTTATTGACGGAGACGACCACGCCGGTGCTGGCGCAGCCGCGGCTGATTTCCTCCATGGCCACACTGTACGCCAGGTAGTCCATTCCGGCGCCGCCCAGCTCCTCGGGGATCTCCATGGCCATCACGCCCATGGCGCCCAGCTCCAAGATCTAAACACACACGAGCCACCATTGCCAAGATGATCAGTGCGGCGAGCTCACCCGCAGAGTGACCGACCAACATACCTGCTGAGCCGGGTACGTCTGCTCTTTGTCCAGCCGGGCGGCGATGGGTGCGAGTTCCCGGTCGGCAAAGTCGCGACATGTCCGACGGAGCATATCATGAGTTTCCGGAAGCTCGGCCAGCTGAGACAGGCCGCGACAGCCACGCATGCACCCGCCAATGGCTACAAGGAAGTCAATGGCAGTCGAAAGGTAATGGTTGAATGATCCATTTGATGAGAATCATTCCGTCTTATTTGTCAGGACTTATTTTAATCAGTTTTTTGAATGGCCTCAAATGTTTATCTGTGATGCATTTTTTAAGTCTGTGGTGGCAGTTGTGTCAGTGTTGCCAACCTTTTGGGGCCGCCTGAGCGACAAATGAGTGGAACTACTTCAACATTGTTGCATTTGACTAAAAATGGGAGATTTTATTTGAAGGCTAAAGCACAAGCCCAAGTTTTATTAGTAGTACAAATAGTACAGTGACACTATAAATCTAACGTTGCATTAGCGTAAGAATGGAGTCTCGTTAGCTAGAAAACCTCATATTGTGGCCATTAGCTCACCAACTAGCTTCATGCTAACTAGGTGAAAGGTCGAACATGGTTAATTTAGCTAGCCTTAGTAGGACACTTGAAATAAATATTACAAATATTCATGCTTTGTCATAATTAATACACTTGACGTCACCGTCTCCATTGTAAACTAAGTTTAAAAGTTGAAGCTATGTGGCTGCAACCAGGCCAAAATGTGTAAACCAATCAGTCAGCGCTTGAAACAAGGGACAAAGCCACGAAGGCTTAAGTTGCAGAGAAAGTTGCATTTTTTTTATTTTCTTTTTTTTTGTTAATAGTTGGACTTAATTGTGATTACACATGGCCTGGATGTGCGAAGCTGGCGACTAAACGTGAGCTCGGCTTACGGGCGTTAAGCATCCCACACATCGCATGAGGCACACCTGACTCGCGAAGTCTTGTTTTCGTTACGGTGAGCCTTGAAGGCGGAATATGGCTCACCTTTGGTCGCTCTGCAGAGAATCGCCGCCATATTTGCTTCTACGCTTTGATGCGTTCACGCAGCGGCAGAATCGGGAAACACGCCTTACAAAACGCCAATTGGTCGCTCTGCAGAGAATCGCCGCCATATTTGCTCTACGCTTTGCTGCGTTCACGCAGCGTCAGAATCGGAAAATACGCCTTACAAAACGCCAGTAACTCGGAGACGGACGGGTTGATGAATGCACTGAATGTGCAACGTGATTTATTTAGGTAGGGTTGCTTTGGATGTTTACATAATCGCTGTTATGATTACAACTTTTGTTTGTAGACTTTGGGTGGATTTTAAGCATTTCTAAAGTTTACGAAGCCTTGTGAACGTAAAGGCAGCGGCCGATTTCTGACGCCGGAAGTGACATTGTTTCGTAACTCCTGAATATGATTATGATGAAAAAAAAAATTACAAGAAAAAACAATTGCAATATCACATGAAAAACTGATTCAGCAATTCTCAGTTGAATCGATTCTTCAAGCTTGACTGTTTAAGGTTTTTGGCCAGAATGTTTTATTTTTACTTTTTATACTCAATGTGCACGAATAGGTAATTGATCAACATTTTCTTTTCAAATGTTTTATTGCATAAAAATGTTACGTGGCATTCGAACGTAGCATAAGACATATTTTACATTTTTTAATGCATCAGACGCACTTTGATGACGTAAAATGAAATGGACGCGCTGTAGCATGGACGCAATCCCCCCAACATTACTTAACTGGTAATTTTGGGCTTTGGGTGAAGTCGTTTCGGTTCAAGTTGACGCTTCCCTCCATAGCCCATCTCGTTTTAGCCCAGTCTAACGTACACTGGCTTGCTCGCCGCTAACAAAGAAACGCGTTTGTGATCGCTCGGCAATGGAGATGGTGTGAAAATGTGCACAAGTACAACAGGGTACGAGGAGGAACTTGGGGCAAAAAACAACAAAGGCCGACAATGTTGCCAACTACTCGACACCGTTTGCGAGACGCAGCAGTCAAGAATTGTGCTTGGCACTCCAGGTTTGCTCACTTTCATCCTCTCACGTGTTTACTAACTGCAGTTGTACGCAATATTCATTTGTTGTTTTTAATGGGACTGGACCGCCAGTAAAAAAAGGCACCCGGTTTTATGAAGCCCATTCCAAACTCAAGCTAACGGTTTGAGTTTTTCATGATTACAAACACAACATTTCAAAGGAAAGCCAAATTAAAAAAAGAAAATCCACTTATTTGTTTACACTGGTAGGATTTTGTAAGCGAATTAATTTATTACACAGTATAAATGGAAACCCTGCACCGTCATGGTACATATCGTGACATAAATGTAAGTGCGCAAATGTAAGAATGCAAGCCTTTCTGAATGCGTTGTATGCCCCTTTAGCAAAACAAAATTGATTTTTAAAAAGTCTTTGATGAATGAATGTCTAATTGATAACCCTGACAAATAGAATTTTGAGAGCATTTACTGTGCGTTGCTCTGATGATACAGAGCTTTATGTTGCAGTGTCGCCTGACAACACTGGGGCTATTGATACCCTTTTAAATTGTATTCTTTAAGTCATGGATGGCAGATAATTTCCTATAGCTCAATTCCTCATATGGTTTCTCTTTACCTTGCCCTGTCTTTTTAAATATAGTTCATCGGGGTGTGTGTCTCTGTACATGCGTGCGAGCACAGGCATGGTTGTGGGGATATGTATCCATGTATGTTGGGGGGAGTGGGAGTTTAATATACTTTGACATGTTTATCTTTACGTGTCTTGCAGACAATGGCGAAAAATACCTTGGTCCTGGGCACCAGGAGACTCCGTCCCTTCCCATTGGAGGGGAAAAGGAGAAGCAGGAGTCCCCTCACATGAAAGAAGAAGAGGACCAGAAAGATGGGCCTCTTCGCATGAAGGAGGAAGAGCAAGAAGAGAACGTCACCACTTCGCCATGCGTTGGTATCCCCCTTAAGAGTGAAGATGAATATGAAGATCCCAGTGGGGTCAGCGGAGGGGCGGAGCCTCCCAGCAGCAGGAAGTCAAGCGAACGCATGATAACAGAAGGTGACGGACAATCACCAGCAGACGGACTACTTGCGCCTCTGTCAGAGAATGACGACACAACGTCACACTCTCCTCGCACTCATGATAATGTGGAGTCTGAAGGCCAAATGAGATGTCATGCTGACAGCAAGCACTGCGAACGTTCTCAGAATGGGAAAACTGTTGGGTCCACATCTCGTTTGAAAAAGCACCCGATGTTGCTCAACGGTGAGAAACCTTACACATGCACGGTTTGTGGTAAAGCGTTTTCTCAGAGCGCAGTCTTATTGATACACACAAGAATGCACATTGGAGAGAAACCTTTTGCTTGCTCCGTTTGTGGCAAAAGATTTTCTGCGAGGGGAAAATTAGAACAACACACAAGAACACACAGTGGCGAGACAGCTTTTGTGTGCTCGTATTGTGGACAAAGATTCTCTCAGAAGGCAGATCTAGAACAGCACGCAAGCGCACACACTGGTTCAAAACCCTACTCGTGCACATTTTGTGGTAAATTGTTCTCTCACAAGGCAATTTTAACGATACACACACGAACACACACCGGAGAGAAACCGTTTGCATGCTCAGTTTGTGGCAAAAGCTTCACTCAAAAGGGAAACTTAACCACGCACACAAGAACACACACTGGAGAGAAACCGTTTGTCTGCTCGGTCTGTGGTAAAAGGTTTTCAGTGAAAGGAAAATTAGCAATACACACAAGAACACACACTGGAGCTTTTGTCTGCTCATATTGTGGTCAAAAAGTCTCTCGCAAGGAAGATTTAAAACTCCACACGATGACCCACGTGGGTTGGAAACCTTATTTGTGTACAGTTTGTGGTAAAAGCTTCACTGCAAACAAATATTTGAGAGAGCACTCCGCAACACACATTGGTGAGAAACCTTATACATGCCCAGTTTGTGGTAAAGGTTTCCTTAATAAGGGAAATTTGACAACACACACATTCATCCACTCTGGGGAGAGACCTTTTGCCTGCTCAGCTTGCGGACAAACGTTCACTCGGCGAGACCATTTGGCAAACCACACAAGGACGCACACTTCTGAGAAACTTTATACGTGCACAGTTTGTGGTAACCATTTCTTTAATAAAGGACATTTGACAACACACACCAGAATACACGCCGGGGAGAGACCCTTTGCCATGTAAATGTAGACGTTTACATGTCAGGGCGTTGAACTGTAAGTGGATCTTTCTGGGTGTCTTCGAGAAGGGTTTGTCTGAGCACTTGTAATGAAACATGTAAAGCAATGCATCTGTTTTGCCCGATGTTTTCCTGACACGCAAATCCAAAACTTGGACTCTTGATGTCAAGAAAAGTGTCAATGAATAAAATGCAACTATAAAAAGTGAGTCAGTCACTCGCTGGGCGCCATCTGTTTTGTCAAATAGTTATTCTGCTGGTGTCGTTCCTTGAATACGTTTTTGTTTTGAAAAGAGGATACTCCGCTCCATCCAAGTAAAAGTCGTTTTGAACAAGATGTGCTGCTGTCCTACAAGCAAATGATAAATTCTGACCATCTTCACCGTCCATCTCGCTTGTTCGGTTTAAAGCCAAGCGGCTCGTGATGGGACCTGCCTGCTGGCTTCCAAATCCCGCATGGCTTCATCTTGTGGACAAAATTGGTAATGCGGCCTCTGCTAACACCGTAACGACTCCATACGTATTGTGAAGAGGTTCAAGAGAATTTGCACCAAAACAAATGTGGGGAAACCAAAAGAGTTGGGAAGGTTTTCGTAATTACTTGTACCTAATAGGTGAATAAAATTGAATTGTACTCGACGTATCTCGTTTGCTAGATAATGCGAAATTTAAACCCGCAAAAAACGTCATATACTCCAATGGTGTTGAGTTCTCTTCTTTTTGTTTGTAAACTGTATATGTTATGGATTTGTTGTGTGCACTCGAGGGCCACCGTAGAATCGCGCGTTGGTGACCTTATGAAATTGGTCCAGTGGATTTGCCGTACATTGTGCTCATCTGTCAACCGCACGCGCTTAACCGAACCTTTCAGGGAAATAGATGACCTTGTACTTCACGAACGTACCGAAGCCTCGACGGTTGGCGTTCTTTCGGTCTTCGTGACTGCTCAAAGTCGACTGGGTGCACGCTGGAGCTGCTCGGTTTCGTTTATTTTAGCTTAGCCTAGCTTAGTTTAGCTGGTTCGCAGCAATCGCTCAGCAGTGATTCAATGTTGTGATTGACGTGTGAAAATGCGCGCAAGAAGTACAGCAGAGTACGAGGAGCAACTTGGTGGAACGAAAGACGACAGCGAGAAGCCACCACGCAACGCAGGTTTGTTTGTTCCTTTCCCTACGCCCACTTGTTTGCCACCTGCTTCTCATTTTGATGCTTATTTATGACCTTTTTTTAAAACTCAGCGGTTGACGACCCCATTACAAAATGAGCCTTATTACCTTATAATTCTAATAGCCTTAAATTACAACAAGCCTTAAGTGTCAGTCCAAACAATAATACACAACATGGAATATGCAACATGAAAATTGACATGACCAAATCATGTGCATTTGTTTCCTTGTGTCTTGAAGACTTCAATAACGATCTTGGTCCTGGGCGGCAGGACACTCCTTCCATGAAAGAGGAAGTGGCTGAGGAAGACCCCGCCCACAACGACGATGTGGAGGAGCCAGAGCCGCCTCACGTCAAAGAGGAGGAAGAAGAGATGCCAAGCATGAAAGAGGAGGCAGAGGAGGAAATCATCAAAGTTCCGTTGACTGGTGACTTTCTGAAGAGTGAAGATGAAAATGAAGGGTCAAGTGAGGCAAGCGGAAGGGCGGAGCCTCCCAGCAGCAACAGCTTAAGTCAACACACAGCAAAAGAAGGTGACGGACCATCACCAGCAGACAGCTTCTTCGCGCCAATGTCTGATAGTGACGACACAATGTCACACTCTCCTCAAATTGATGAAGGTGATGATGATGATGATGATGATGAGGGGGAGGAGTCTGAAGGTGACATGAGATGTCATACTGAAGACAAACGCTGGAAATGTTCCCGGTGTGACAAAACCTTTGGCTACAAGTCCAGTTTGAAAAGGCATCTGATGATACACACGGGAGAGAAACATTTTGCCTGCTCGCTTTGTTGTAAAAGATTTTCTCAGAGGGGAAACTTAACAAAACACACAAGAACCCACACTGGGGAGAAACCGTTTGCCTGCTCAAATTGTGAGAAAAGGTTCTTCACAAGGGAAAACTTAACCAAACACACAAGAACTCACACGGGTGAGAAACCGTTTGCCTGCTCAGTTTGCGGAAAACGATTCTCACAGAAGGGAGACTTAACAAATCACACGAGGACACACACTGGCGATAAACCTTTTGCCTGCACCGTGTGTGGTAAAAGCTTCTCTCAGAAGGGACATTTAAACATTCACACAAGAATACATACTAACGAGAAACCTTTTGCCTGCTCAGTTTGTGCCCAAAGATTCACTACGAAGGGCTATCTCAACATTCACGCAAGATCACACACTGAGGAGAAACCGTTTGCCTGTTCCGATTGTGGTCGACGATTCTTTCAGAAGGGAAGCTTAACAAAACACAGCAGAACACACAATAGAGGGGAACTGTTTTCCTGCTCAGTGTGCGATAAAAAATTCTCTCATAACGTCTCCTTGAAAATACACATCAGGACACACACCGGTGAGGCACCTTTTTGCTGCTCGGTTTGCGGTCGACGCTTCTCAGAGAAAGCAAGATTAAGAAGTCACATAAAGACACACACTCGGGAGAAACCTTTTGCCTGCTCACTTTGTGGTCATAGATTCTCTCATAAGGGAACTTTAATATATCACACAAGAACACACACAGGTGAGAAACCTTTTGTCTGCTCAGTGTGTGGCAGAAGCTTCCCGAAAAAGGCAAATTTAAGTGCGCACACAAGAACCCATACTGGAGAGAAACCTTTTCCTTGCTCAGTCTGTGGCAAAAGATTCTCACGGAAAGACGTGCTCAAGAGACACAAGTGTGCTGGCGAGAGTAGCAATGAGCACTGAAGCTTTCACGTCTCATCTGAGCAGGCTTCTTCAATTTGGTGCACCAAGGCTGGTTGAATTCCAAGAACTTCATTAAGGCCTACGCATGAGCACTTGTCGCAATTCGTCTGCTCTGTTCATTTTTTTTTTTGATGTGCATACCAAATAAAACATTGATTAAAATGAGCCATGAGGAAACTCACGTGACCCTGAGCAAAAGGTAAACTATATAAGATAAGATAAGAAAACCTTTATTAGTCTCGTAATGGAGAAATTCCCAATTCACAGCAGCAAAGTTATGAATGGAAGAAGTAGAACAACAAAATATAGGAGCTGCTGGAAAGGCAGCCACTCTCGCGGCGCCATCTTGAAGTCAAAATAACAAAAATAACACAACACAACACATAGGACACAGACAGTCGTGCAATCTTCACCACTTTCCTGCATACACTTTGTTGTCTGAAGCAGTTATAGATGAAAGAGGAGAGGATTAAAGTGTCCTTTTACCAGTGGATCAGAGACGTCATGCTGAAAATGTGCACATCTGCTACAAGCTAAGTTTTGAAAGCAAACACGAAGCTGTAGCGTCCATTGACAAAAAGAGATTAGTTCACTTCTCCTGTCCCACGTAGTTTCGCGCCTCTCTTATGTGACAGTTCAAAAGACAAGAGATTGTGCAAAATGAAGACAGTCCACACTACAGCATCCCACGTTGTGAAATGTTTGACCCACTTTCTGTTATTTTTGTGCTGGGTACAAATCCCTTCATTCAAGAATTAGTCTTTATCTACTCAAGAGCCGGGTTATGAAATGTTGTGCCCATTATGACTTATTTCTATCTGGAATTGCCTCAGCAAATGGGTTATTTATCTTCCAATCACATCGCCAGATTCCCATCCAGCCAATCAACTGAAACCTCCACACCTGGCCAGTGCCTCTTGAAGCACTAGCTTAAATTGTCAAGGCTTTTTGGTAAGTTTGACAACAACGCAGCTAGCCGTTTAGCCGTTCTCATGACGTTCCTCATTAATACGTCACCAAACTCAAAACGTCAGACGCAACGCCGTGCCCGGATCAACATGTCGCTCAGCAGAGATCGAGTGTTGTGAAAATGTGCGCAAGGCGGACAGATAAGTACAACGGGGAACTTGGTAGTGCAAAAAGAGCGACGAGGAGGTCAACTGCTCGACGCTCTCGGCAAGACGCAGTCGCCAGGTGGCCTCCCAGTTTCACAGATGAATCGATAAGAGGTCAGACCAACACCAGAAAGATCATTTCAAGTGAGGGCAAAAGCGAAGAATGTTCGTTTCGACGATGTACAATGACTCCACGCTGTTATATTCAATAAAATACGTGGAGTCGGACTCTGTGCTCACTGTCGTTTATTCTCTGGAGACACATTTTATATATCTACGCTTTTCGGCAACTCCTGCTTTACGGTCGTGACGTCATGCTGTCGTGACATTACCCAGTGGCTGTGGTTACATGCCACACACGCACCAACAGAGACACTGAGAACTCGTTTCGACGACTGTTTTTCCCTTTCCGAGCTCTTCCGTTGGTCTCGTCCGACGGGGTTGCAACTCAACAAATGACCGCTCGTGAATGACAGCTATCACAACAGTATTGTTGATCTCCGCAACTCCAGTTTGAGGCCAACACTTTGATTTCGACTAGTCCTTATTCGAGTGAGGTAATTAGTTAGTTGCATTGTTATGGTTTCGTAAAGTTTTTTGCATTATCTGTTTTGTTGTTGCAGTCGTATTTGTTTAAATATATATTTGGTTTTGATGCATTTGCCTTATTTATTTTTGCTTTTTGTATGTTTTCATCTTCTGTTGGATTTTTTTTTTGCTACTCTGTCGTCGTTTTTGTTTCTTCTCACATTCAGTTTCGTTTTTTCTTTAGCTATTTTTTTCAAAAGGATTCGATTCGATTGTTTTTGGTCAGTTCTCATAACTGTACGCCAGGGGGAGCCAGAGCTCAGCAAGCCGCCACCAACGTCATTTCATGCTGGTGATGCTGCGCCTCGCAGAACGGAAGCCATATTGTGATGTTGGGAGGACTTGTGGACCAAAAACAGATGAGGATGATGACGCCAATGATGAAGATGATGAACACAAGATGGCGGCTATGTGGATTTGCTAGTGTGGTTTCCGGACTGCAGGTGTGAATCCGTTCCTGTGACACACCAGGACGACGTCGACGCTAGCTAACAAACCTATATGCAGGTGACGCACGCACGCACTCACACACACGCAGCGCGTGCCTCACGTACAGTACAAGTGGCTCACGTACAAAAAGGAACACGCTCGCACATCTACATGTACGTGCTCACGCACGCACAGAGACACACGCACACGTTCACACATTTATGCATACACATTAGCCACTAGTTGGATTATGAAATCAATGCATTTTGTTTGAGGTCATTTGGGAGGGCCGTCTCTCACCCAGTGGAAGAGACACCCCCCCCCCCCACACACACAGACACGTTCACAGGTATATGCACACTGACTCGTATGTATGACATTTTGGCGTGTGCGTGTCCTCAGGCGGGATGGCGTTCATGTGCGGCTTCTCACGCTCGCGCAGCAGCTCGCGTTCACCTGCTCGCCAGGATTCCCGCGAGCGCGTCAGCGTATCGGAGCTGGAACGACTTTTAAGCAGCGGCAAGACGGCCTGCAACCACGCCGATGAAGTCTGGCCAGGACTCTACATCGGAGACCAGTGAGTTCGCACATGCATACACGCATTCACTTCACGCTGAAAACAATGGCTGCATTGTGTGAAGTTTGCTTGTTCTCCCCTTGCCTGTGTGGGTTTTCTCCGGGTACTCCGGTTTCATCCCACATGCCAAAAACAAGTCTCTAAAATAGGGGTGGGCAATCCCAGTCTTGAAGGCGTTTTTAGCCCCCCCCCAAAAAAAGAGTTTTGAGCCGAAAAAAACGACCATGTATAGT